GTTAACTCCTCAAAATTATAACGTATTGCCAAAAACATCGATATGTTCGTGCTTATCAATGTGAGTTCGGGTCAACTATTGTATTAAACAGTCCAGATTTCTTCTATCTGAGAATTATTCAATCAAAGCGTTCTTAAAACTATTCTAATCGGTTTAACATTTCTTATATTGATACAAGAATATTATAATTAAGTTCGGCATCATTTGAATTTTTGTAAAAATTAAAAATACTTTTACATCTATATATCGATGAATTTATTAAGAGTATTGCTGTCTCCATCGTATGGTTTAATATTATCCATTTTGGATTTGAATAATTCCCAGTTAAGCTTTGGTTCAGTAATTTTTTTAGATAGTATAGATAAAGAAGCGATTTTGGTTGATTGGTGTATAGAAAATGATAAACTATCTAATTTTCCTATAATTTCCTCTAATTCTGTCATTAATTTTTAAATAAACTTATTTTTAAAATTAAAGATAAAGTATTTATTTATGTATTGATTGTTAAAAAAATATTATACAGGGTGCTACAAATTCGAGGTACGAGCATTGATATCTCGGAAACCTTAATAGATACGAAGATAGTTAAATTTGGGCAAAGTTGCACCTTGAGATGTTCACCAAGACGCCATCAAATAAGTTTTAAAAATTTCAAGGATTGCTGAGTCTTTTGGAAAAAACGGATTTTTTGGAAAATCAATTTTATTTTTTCTTGTCGTTACTTTTTAGAAAAACTAATTACACATTCTCATAGCCACTTTATTAGGGTTATTTGGTAGTACTTTTAAATTTTCAAATTATCTGATAATTTGTCAGATACAGAGGCCAACTTAATTTTTTTAAATACGGACCTGTATTTTTTATTTCAGGTCTTGAAAGAACTCGGTCTCCTGAGTATAATGATATGCCACACGAGATACTTTATTTTGTTTTGGGTACCTTAACAACAACAAAACTAGTTAATTATTATTTAAAATAATTTCAAGTACGACTCTGGTTTTCTAAATTATTTAATCTGATCATATTCATCGCAACAATATTGATCACCGCTATTTAACACTGAATAAGAAAAATTGAGCCAATTCAAATAAATAATATCCAGGTCAGCAATTTAAATATATTATTTTTAACTTTTTTATTGTGAATTTGTAATCTCAGTATACGATCTAATAATATTCATAATATTAATCGTAGTTGTTATAAATAAATCAACTTCTATAAACTAGTTTCTAATGCTCTACATGTTCGAACCACCCTTCCTAATACACAAATTTATTTATTGTTCAATCTTATTTATAGTTCTTTGAACATAACTTCTTGTTATAGTTCCGAATGCATTTTGTACTCTTTATTGTAAATGTTGAAATGTATTGATTTCACTTTTACAAATGACGCCAAGTAATGCCCCTTTAGTTATTGCATTTGATTTTCCGTATTCAATGTTTCACCCCCCGTTATTGTTAAGTTTGAAAGCTTATCAATATTGTAACGATAAATCGTTTAAATCTTAAAAAAAACAGAGCCGGACTTGAAATTAGTTTAAATAAATTACGTTCAAATGTCCGAAACAAAAAAAATATTAAGTGTGGCATATCATTGTACTCAGGAGACCGAGTTCTTTCAAAATCTGAAATAAAAAATGCAGGTCCGTATTTAAGAAAATTAAGTTGGCCACTGTATATCACAAATTATCAGCTAATTTGAAAATCAGATAGCCCTAATAAAGTGGCAACGAGAATGTCCAATTAGTTTTTTGATTTCCTAAAAAGTAACGCCAGGAAAAAATAAAAATTATTTTCAAAAAAAAGACACAATAATTAAAAGTTATTTTTATTTTTTACGTTCGTTTCGACCATTCTTATTATTGTCAAATACATATACACACAACAATATAAAATAATTTTAAAATTTAATTAAAGACTACACATAACATATTAAATAACAAACCACATTACTAGTACATGTCAGACTCTAAAATAAATATTATCTATCTAATTATTTTATATTGTTGTGTGTATATGTATTTGACAATAATAATTTTCTGAAGAAGACCTAAGAATGGTCGAAACGTACGTAAAAATAAAAACAACTTTTAATTATTGTGCTTTAAATCGCTAACCTAAATCCAAGAATAAATCCCAACTATTTTTTTAATTATATCGATTATAGATTTATTTTTAAAATCGATAAATTATTTTTTCTTTTTTTCGTTCTTAAAATTACTGCTCCTAATGAGCTGCGAAATTTGTGTGCGCTATGCAAGGGCCCTAACTATCACTACCGAAAAACTTTAACCAGAGGATCGGAGAAGAGAGTTTTGATGCTGTCGTGTTTTTTCTCCCTTCTCGATCCTTTTGCGACTCGTGGGTGCTGCACTCTGTTGCCGTCGAGGTTTTGAGGTTTTTCTTCGACACGCGCTTAGTGGTTGAAACCACGAAACGACACAACTGGCCCGAAAAGACGCTCGAAAAATAGAAATGCCGTTGCACGTATCCTACCGACTGCGCCAATTATGTTGTTCGACGGAAGAAAATTCTTTTTAAATAAAATAATTGTAGTATAACGAGTACGTAAGAATGATTTTTAATTAACATTAACTTAAAATAAAGACTTATCAATAAGAGCATGATCAGCAGGTCTAACGGGAAGATCTTCTGTGCGGTTGCAGGTGTGACAGCGCGTTTGAGATAGCGCTGACGCTTGATGTCCCCATACTGCTGTGTCTAACCGTTATATTTTTGTTTTGCATTGCATTCGAATGTTATCTACACATTTTTAAACATCAAAGTTTGGGGTTGTTAATTAAAATTATACACCTTTGCGCGCTTCTCAGCGCCAGGGGTCGCAGAACTGGAACTGTTGACTGTACCTTTGTTTTTTAACAGTAAAATGCAATCGATTTTGAAAATATGAGCTTTCAGAAAACTCTTGCATGTTTTTAAGACGTTCGCAGATACCATTAGGTACTTCTGTTAATCTGGTGGCGGCCTGCTAGGAGTAGTTTACTATTCCTCTTCCCCAGAAAGATGGCAGGTCTGGGGGTTGTATAAGGTTATACCGCCTATGCTTAGACGTCAGAGCCTTGTTTGTGTAAACCGGGTGCACGACGTGAAGGTGAGGTTGACTTTTGGGTAAGCTAGGCTATATGTACCGCTTATATTCCCCTTGCACCCCTAGCAGCTCATTGATAAGAACAGCGAAAACCAAATGCCTCTTAATCAGCGAAGCAACGAATAAAATGTATTTATTAAATAACAAAGACAAAACTAACATCAAAAACAAGTCGGGGGTCGATCATAGCATATTTTGCGATAATTGTGACCCCGTGTACATATGCCAAACAGGTAGAAATATAGATATAAGTATTTGTTTGTTTCTTGAACTTGCGAAGGACCACCCTTTATACAAGGGAAATAAGGATTGCGGCGACACTACTTTTAATTAATTTATTACAATTAAAATGGTAAAAAATACAACAGCAAATTGAGCCCGTTTTACGTGACGTGACAATTATTTTCGCGAATTCTTCTCTCGTCTCTATGGAACTGTAAACTAAACGGTCAGGCCTGCTCACAATTACAAACATGCCGCCCGCGTTGAAAAATCCATTTTTCAAAGTATAACTTAAATTGTTTTTTTTTTCTAACTTGAAGAAAGACGAACTCTTTATTCGGTATCAACTGGTAACGCACAAATATATGTCCATTGGACAAACGAACGGACACAACACGAACTATTTGATCTGCACCAGGATGAAGTTCGACAATGCGAGCCATTGGCCATCGTAGCGGGGTTTGTTATCCTCTAACTAACATAACTAGCGTTCCCAAGTTCAAATTTTCTTGATTTGTCTTCCACTTGGAGCGATTCTGAAGATTGGTCAAATACTCTCGAGACCAGCGGCTCCAGAAATGCTGATATAACTGCTGAAGTTTTTGATATAGCGATAAGCGTGATGATTTGCACGCCAAAAAATCGACTTCGGGGCAACTTGCTGGAGACTCGCCTATTAGGAAGTGGGATGGGGTTAAAGGATCATAGTCTTTAGCATCATTAGAAAGCGGGGTTAAAGGCCTTGAATTTAAACACGCTTCAATCTGTACTAACAACGTGTACATATTTGCATAGTTTAAAGAAGTATTAATAAGAACGCGTTTTAAGTGGAATTTTGTGCTCTTAACTGCTGCTTCCCATAAACCTCCCATGTGAGCAGAGCGAGCTGGTATAAAATGCCAGTTGATCTGATCGTTAGCCAAGAACATGGATACGGTCTCGTTATGTTTTTTGTCGTTAATTAAAGTATATAATTCAAGAAAATAGTTTTTTGCACCTATAAAATTTAGACCGTTATCCGAATAGATGTTACTAGGCTTACCACGTCTTGAACAAAATCGTTTTAACGCGTTTTAAAAAACAATCTGGAGTCAAATCATCTTCGATATGATCACTAGTTCAACATGAACAGCATGAGTGGTAAAACACACAAATAAAGAAATATAAACCTTTATAAGCTTACTTCGGTGTAATCTTCCCTACTTAATGTAAATAAGTAAATAAGACTCGGCATGACACGTGACTCGTTAATTTATAAAAAGTTGAGTACCGTTCAAAGATGTCAAATTTAACTGTATGCATATGTTCCGTTAATTTTGTTTCGGTATTTAAATTTAAAGAAACTGCGTCTATGTTTATTTCGGGTAATTTGTCTAAATCGCCGGGTATAAACTCATTTTCAGTATTATCTAGTATTCGCGATTTGTTATATAAAATTCTGATCCATTAAAACAAATCACATTTTCAACGAAGTTTCGGGTTCCTAAACCTCGTGATATTATATCAGCGTTTACCTGTGTTTTCTTTTTTACGTGTTTCCAATCCTTTATATTTGACAGCTTTGTGATTTTAACAACTGTATCAGGTAAAAAAACGTGGCGATTTATTTTTGTCTTATTTAAATGTTCTAAAATATGTATAAATAGCATATGTAAGTTCTCATATTCGGCCATAAAATCTTTGTATTAAACTTCAAGTTCATTATTTTTTCTAAACCGTTTTTCCAAATTATGAAACTTTTTTAAAGCTACTGACTTTGAATCCTCTAACTTGGTTTTGCATTCTTCTTTAAACGCATACTGTACTATGAATCTACCCTCACTGTCGCGTTTTGTTGTTTCTCTAAAAATGTCTTCGCAGATTTGTTCCTCTTTTGAGAAAAAGTTTTATTTGGTATATTTTCTATAGTGCAGAATTTGTTTAAAGTTTCGTTTAAATCTTTATTCGTTATCTTTGTAGATAAATTACAAACTGAGTTTTGATTGACAATTTTCGGCAATGCAATTCTCGCTGCAAAAACCCAACCTAAATGTGTTTCTTGTAAAACTGGCAATTCACTACCCAATGATATTTTTCCGTTTTTAAGTAGTTCATAAAATGTACTAACTCCGAGTAATAAATCAATTTGTATAGGTACGTGAAACATTTCATCAGCTAACTTAATATTAGATGAATAATTTACTTTGTTTTTATCAAATTTAATCAAAGGTAGTTTCTCCGTGATTGCTGGCACTACTAAAAAGGAAAGATTTGCTTGAAATTGTTCAACTCGTGATTTTATTTTCGTGGAAACCCTTTGCGAGATGCGAGTTACTTTTTGATTCACTCCTGACTTTTTCATGTTTGAGTTTTAACTTATTGCATAAAGATTCCGTCATAATATTCGATTGACTTCCCGAGTCTAAAAGTGCATTACATTTATGCCAACTACCTGAATTATCCGAGATCAAAATAGTAGCAGTCGATAATAAAATCTGCTCAGATGAAAACTGTTAATACGATAATTCTAATGCGTTATTATACAATTCTTTTTGGTGAACATTAAATTCAAATTCCGAATTCTTATTTGTTTCCATTAAATTTCGCTCGAAATTCTGACTTGTAGCGCATGTAGCAGGCGCAGACGTATGAGCGCGCGCGTTCTGTTCACCAGCTGCAAACGATGCTGCGTTGCTACTATCATTAACATTTCGCCCTGAATTACCACCCTGGGATTTTGAATCGTGTAGCATGGTATTATGTTTAAGATGGCATTTTTTCCAACCACTTGATTTGCAATCACGTTTAAAATGTCCAGCTCTAAGACAGTTGCTACATAATTTATATTCCGTAATTACTTTATATTCTTCTGGAATTCATAAAACGCTAAATGATTCCAATGATTTTTATGACAGTATTGACAGTCTATACTGTAATGACGATTTTGACTAAAATTACATTTTACGGTTTTATAATTTCGGCGCGTACGATCTCCATAAGACTTATTTTGTAAAGTTAATTTCGAAAATTCATTATTGACAGCTTCGAGCGTAAAACATTTTTTCGTTAGAAAATCAACTAAATCATGCAAAGTGGGTAAATTTTGATCGGTTTGTTTATTTTCCCACTCTCATTTAATCCTGTCATCCAATTTTTGTAATATAATAGGTATAAGTAATATATCCCAGTGATTTACAGGTAAATGTAATTTTTCTAAAGCAGAAATATGTTGATGCAAAGAATCTAATAAACTTCTAAGTAGAGGAGCTGATTCTCGAGAAATCTGAGGTAAATTAATAACAAATTATTAACGTGATGATTTACGATTGCCCGTTTATTTTCGTATCTCTTTTGAAGTAAACCCAATGCAATAGAGTAATTTGCAGATGTAACATCTAAAGAATCGATTACTCTTAAAGCATCAGCCTTACAACAAATTTTTAGGTATAAAAATTTATCTATATCGCTTAGGTCGGTTTGTTTATGTACTACAGAATCAAAAATATTCTTAAAACTATACCATGTTTCATACTTACCGTAGAAACTCGGTAGGTCCAAGTCTGGCAGTTTGGCAACTGTGCTTAGGTTTGAAAGCGGTTTGACAGGATTTTCCGTTAAAATATTTTGATCATTTTTCTTTTGATCGGCGATAATTCTTTTTGCTGTCGCAATTAGCGCGTAAAAATCTGATTCTGTATCTAACCGATATCTTTTTTCTTCGGATACTAAAAATTCGAGACGCGTTTGTATTTTATTAAATGCAGAAAAATCCTCTTCTACACTTTTCAACCTTACTTCAATCTGGAAAATTTCATCGCGCTTGGTATCTAAAAACTGTTTAAATCGTTCTAGTCTTTCACAAATGACATTACGTGCGTGCTGAAATTCAGCAACTTCATTTTCGAGAGCTAAATCTGGCGTGGATGTGTTTTGTTTCGACTTTCGACCCATTTTTAGCTAAAGATCAGAGAAACTGTCGTGTTCTTTTCAATAATTGTAATATTCTTTCGTGCAAATACTAGAAACAGAAGTTAATTTACAAATTTTCACCTTTGTTATGAGACAAGAATAATAATTAAACGTATTTACGAGATGCTTTTTTACAATACGATAACGAGTAACAACTATACGAGAACTGCTACCTATATTTTTTAAGAATTACGAGACGTGAAAAAGCAAATAAATATATTTGACGTGAATTAAATAGATTTGTTTGTCAAAAAACGAGGAAATATACAAACGTGTATGAGTAACTATAACAACATATCAATACAATCGAGATAACGCTTTCTAACACTGATTATACAAACTACGTGGAATAAAAGGATATTTTTTGCGGGATGGATATGGGATTCTTTATTTCGTGGTAGGAAAAGCGGGAAAATAGAACGAGCTCACCTTCTTTCCTCTTCGACTTACGAGTACTGCTTCAAAATGCTGCCGATATTTTCATCTGCGTGCCTATCGCCTGACGCAGGTTTTCATCCGTCTCGATGGGACCAAAATGTATGTTTCATAAACTCGCGAAGGACCACCCTTTATACAAGGGAAATAGCGATTGCGGCGACACTACTTTTAATTAATTTATTACAATTAAAATGATAAAAAATACAACAGCAAATTGAGCCCGTTTTACGTGATGTGACAATTATTTTCGCGAATTCCGTTAATTCTTCTCTCGTCTCTATGGAACTGTAAACAAAACGGTCAGTGGTGCGATTCTATAACAACAAAGCAAGAAATGCGTTGTTGCTATCGATAGCGCTCGGCAGATTCCTATTCTATAACCGCACTCGGCAAATTTCGTTAGTCGATAACGCGGGCGATAACGCGGGCCAACTGCTTGATGCTTTGAGAATTTCGCTGTTATTTGAGGTTAAGAAATTTGTTTGCCGGTGATAAGTAATAAGTTTGTTTTTGGTTCTATTTTATTTAGGAGAAACTGCTTATAATACAAAATATATACAATAAAAAATGGAGAAAAGAGTAAAAACAAATCCTCTTCAATGGTCCATGTTTCTGGATTTTGCCGAGAAACACCCAGAGATATTAACTAAAAAATTCAGCTCCATGGGAAGCAAGCAGAAATATAATGATTTGTGGAAAGAAGTGTCATCTCACTTTAACAGTATGGGATTTCAACAGAAATCCGTGGAAAAATGGCAAAAGGTAACTTATTACTCATACCTACATTATTATGATTCAAGTATGAATACAATAGAAAAGTACCAATGGGGGGATCATACAATTTTTTTATGAATTATTGACAGAGTATGGATTCGGTACCTACCTAATAATCAAACAATTCTCATAATTAAAAAAGAAACTCTTAAAAAAAACTTACAAATTTAATATTTTTAAATTTGTAAGTTGACACTTACTCGACACCTAGGTTTTAATTTGTCATTGAATCATTGCAATTATAGAATTAGAGCTTCAAAGTAAAGTCAAAAATACTTTTTTGTCTAAAATACTAGATTACTAGATAAGTACTAGATTTTGTTGACAAAGCAAACTTAAAATTAAAAATAATACATAGATATACAGTAACAGATACTAAAATTACAAAGCGTATTATTGGTTCGTAGGCAATTACTGACTGGAAGTCTAAAGTGAAGGCAAAAGCAGCTGATTTAAATAGAGGATTAACCCAGACTGGAGGAGGTAGTCCAATGCCCCCCCTAAATGACAATGAGCAGAGATTGCTTCAAATTATAGGGTGGACCTCAGTGGAAGGACATAATGTCCCAGAGTTGGGAGTTGTAAGTTTATCTCTTGGAAATGAAGAGTACACGTAAAAATAATAGTACAAGTTCATATAAACTTTTTTCGAAGAGTCGATATTAACGGACATAAAGGGTGTCCAATGTTTTATTTTTATTTTTTCTTCACGACCAATTATAATTATATAGTTCATATAAACTTATGATATTTATGATATTATATGATATTTATAAGAAAATTGTATAGGTATTTTATATGTCATATTGGTAATGATATTTTTTTCAGAATATACATTTACCAGCTGCTATACAAGAAGCAGTGTCAGCTGAAATTGAGGAGGATCCAGCTGCAATTGTAGAGCAACTATTGCCTTTGCCTGTAACATTATCTCCACCACCATTAGCTGCAATCAAAAGAGCAGCTCCTGAGGAAGAGCCATTTAAGGCAGCAAAATTGGAACCAAAGAAAAAGATGAAGAAATCATCAATTAAAATGTCCAAGAAGAAATCTGATATTCAGATATGTCAGGACCAAACCATGGATATTTTAAATAAAATAAATGGAAACCTCTCTAGAATGGCAGATGCACAAGAAAGAATGTTCTAGATTGACAAGAAAGAATCATTCTAGAGAAGTTAAGTTTAAGTTAGGTTAGTTTTGAGTTAATGTTACTGTTTTTTATTTTTATATTTATAAAAATTGTGTTCTTGTTTTTTTTTGTATTTATGTAGATTTTTTTTTAATTTATAGAGTATATATTTTGGTTGTTACTAAGAAAATACATTTGTTTACGAGTCTATGTTTCCTATTTTCTTTTTAAATAAAGTTTCTAAAAATAACTGAAACATAGATTTTTTTTAGGTTTATTTCCATTATTGTGATAATGTTACACATCATTCCAACAAATTAGTATATTGAATTAAATAGTAGGCCAGTTAAAAACTTAAAAAATATTCAAAAAATGTAAACAGAATATTAATATACCTACAGTTTTAACTAAAAGGCATGTATAAATGCTTATTTCTCTAACAAGTTTCTCTAATCATACTTTTATACTGGTGTCTTATGAAGGTTTATTGAAAAGTTAATATTATTATGAAATGTATTCTTTAAAAAGAATACATTTCATAATACTAACAAAACTTTTAAGAGCTACTCATGAGAATGAAGACATAGATAAGCATGAGAAAAATAACAATCATAAAACATTATATCTTACAAAAAACATTACAAATTAGAGTATTAATTATTAAAATATCTATTAATCATTGCATTCCTCACTGCTCTTCCCACATCTAGAGCAGCTGGATCTGGTGGAGGTTCATCAATGTTGATTTGACCATTGGGATCCTCTTCAACATTCTCTTCCAAAGGGATTCTTGCTCTGATACACATGTTGTGAAGAATGCAGCAGGCACTGATAATGCTTGCTGCTTTTTCTGGACTGTACCTTAAGCCCCGTTCTCCTAATATGCAGCGAAATCTTGTTTTGAGTACTCCATTAGTCCTCTCTATACAATTTCTTCCTCTAGCATGACCCTGGTTGTACCTGTCTCCTGGAGTATTTGGTAAAACTCCAAGATTTGGGGTCATCAACCAAGGTTCTTGAGGATACCCTGAGTCCCCAAGCAACCATGTGTTTTGCTCACCATTTAGATAGGACTGCTCCAAAATATTACGTATTGCTGATTGCCTCCAGATATAAGCATCATGGCAACTACCAGGAAATCTTGCATTCACATTAGATATATTCAGATCTTCATCACAAATTAGTTGCACATTTATTGAATGATAACCTTTCCAGTTAATATATGCATGTTCTTCTTGTGTAGGTGCCAAAATGTTTACATGAGTACAGTCAACAGCACCAGCTACTCCTGGGACCCCACAATATTCAAAAAAAATTCTCTTTATTGAATTTCTTCTCTCTGCATTAGGAAATTGAATCCAATTATTACTAAAGTGAAGTACTAGAATCCTGGAAACCTCCTCTACAGCTCTACTAACTATTGGCTGACTTACAGCTAGCAGATACTCCTGGCCAACGCCTCTTTGGTAGTTCCCAGTAGCATAGAATCTTAGTGCTATGAGGATTCTTTGTTGATAATTCACACGAGATGTTCTATATGCTATGTCCATATATTGGCGAAGTTCTTGGAATAGATGGTTTACCAAATCCTTGTTGACACGATAAAGATGAATAAAATGGATATCTGGCAATGAAAATGGGTCGCTTATATCCCGAAGCCTCCTGTGTTCTTCACGAAGCTGCCTTAATTGATTTTCGCGTTCCATCTGCTGAATCATTAAAACTCGAACAGGCAACATATTAAATTAATTGACTGGGATTTAAAGCCAATAATAAATTTCAATTCACTTCAAATATATAGAAGACATAAACAAAAAAGTTAGGTTAGTTTCGTTTCTGATTTTATTGCTCCTCTTTCGCTAAGTATCTATTTTTACGACGTTGCAAATTTTTACAACGTTGACATCAAGCAAACAATCTCGCTATCGCTATGCTTCGTTTTCGCTTGCTGTCGCTATTCAGACGTCTATTATAGAATCGTACCACAGGCCTGCTCACAATTACAAACAGTATTAAAAAATATATAAAATGTATTTTAATAATATCAAGCAAAGTTCCGGTCTATTAACACATTCTATATTAAATAGTCACACAATTAATGAGTTCAATAATTAAGTTAAATTAAATTACTACATAAGGAATCAAAATGCAAACGCTTAAATTACCTGGAAGAGTTAGAAATATTAAAATCAGATAAAAACGATAATAATGTAATGAGACAATCAAGGATTTTTATTATCCCTATAGCAAATATATATCGTTCCAGTGTAGTCAGACGAGTAGTTTCAAAAAACTTTTTAAAAAGGCTTAACAAGCCGAAACTGTAATTAGTGATAGAGTTAGTATTATTCAACTTGAAATATCTAAAAGCGTGTGTTTTATTAATATACTAATTTCACCATAAAAACACGCTATGTAATATAAGATTTAGGGAAAAAACAACGATTAGAAGCTATCTAAATAACCGACAGCAGATCCTTTCTATCCAGGTTATTGAATGTGAGAAAAGGGTGATCAACTAGGTTGTACCTAAGAACTTTATAGTGGGCTCTGTATTATTTTATGTATACATTAATGAGTTACTGAACTTCAAACTTGATGTACACATTTTGACTTATGCTGATGATACAGCTGTTTTCTTTAGATCAACATGTTGGAATAATGAAAGCTAAACTAAAAAAAATCAGTGGAAATAGTATGCATTTTTTGATAACATAATCTCCTTACAGTTAATTTTAAGAACACTTTCTTCTTGCCTTTTACCTGCTATTCGATAGCCTTCCTGAATTCAATCTAGATATAACTTATAATAAACTAGTGACAATAAACTCAACAACAAAAATAACATTTATACGTAGGTCCTAAAAAAATTGTTTATAAGTAATAATATTCTATTATTACTTCAAAAAAAAATACTAAAATGGTGGATGATTAGGACAATAACCGACAGATCAACTTCAAAACAAAGATATAGAAAACTTGATACAATCAAAATTAATATTATATTTTTAATTTAGTTTACTTTGTTCTTTGCTCATTTTTACTTGTTTTTATATTGTACTCTTCACTTTTCATTTTAATATTTTTTAGTTCGTATACACTCACCGGCAAAAAAAAAACGGCCACTAAAAACTAGTCCCAATTTCAAAGTTGGATTTCTCGCAAACCACTCAGTAGATTTTAATGATTTTTTTTAAATTGCAAATTAATTCCTTCTTAACGGATGCTACGTCAGAAATGTTTATTCCGAATTTATTTTGGGCATATACAGGGCAGAACAATAAGACGAAGTTTTTTTTTAATGCTAAATCAAATGTCATTGTAGCCTCATCTTTTGTGAGCATTTTGTTTTTTTTTAATCACGACATTATCTCTGTTTGTATTGGAGATACGCTGCTTTAAAAACGAACGTCTCGGAAAAATGCTTCGCAGGCAAGACCGCGATTCATCCGTGAGAAGGACTTTAGCCCATTGCTCAATATCCCAATTCACATGTAAACCCGCAAACTGAAGACGTAGCTCGACGATGTCTTGGAAGTAGCTGGGGTCCTGTGGCAGGCCTCCTTGCAGACAAGCTGTTTTCTGTTAGTCTTCGTCAGATTGTTCTCTCACTGACTTGAGTTCTACGCACGGCTTGTAGCAGATGTTGATTCTGAAACACTGTAATTAATTAATTCTACGGTTTCGTAAAGTATTCAGGACAATTGCATTTATCTTCTGTTTTCTTTCGGAACCCACTCGCCTCGCCTAGTGAAATTTCCCTTTTCCATATACCAATTCCAGGCATCCTGGACTATTGTTCGAGGTATACCCTGGGTATCGGACACATAACGTTGACTTCGGCCATCCTCAATGAAAGCCACAATACGAGCAACATCCGTCACAGATAATGGCATTTTTTAATTTGACAACCGTTTTTGTCATTTTGCAAATACTCATAAATCCGTTTTCGCCTATGTCACTTTCATTATTTATACCTAAAACTTTCTGCCTGCAAAGCATTTTTCCCAGACGTTCGTTTTAAAGCAGCGTATCTCCAATACAAACAGAGATAATGTCGTCATTAAAAAAATAAAATGCTCACAAAAGATGAGGCTACTATGTCATTTGATTTAGCAATAGCTACTATAGCTACTTCACCCTACAGGGTGTTACAAAGTTTGGGCAAAAAAAAATCGTCACATTGTTGTGCCCTGTATATGCTCAAAATAAATTTGGAATAAAAATTTCTGACGTAGCATCCGTTAAGAAGGAATTAATTAAAAATTTAAAAGAAAATAATCAAAATCTAATGAGTGGTTCGCGATAAATCCAACTGAAATTGAGACTTTTTGAAACATGCCGTCAATAGCCCTTCTGATGACGTGGCTACATATAAAATGCTTCCTTTTTATCTTTAGTTCTTATTAAAAAATTGATACATTTTTATTCTCAAATTAATTCTATGAGAGCTGTTGGTGTGATAAAAGTTTTAGACTAAAATAGCCATATTTTAGTTAAACTCGATACAGATTGTGACATTACATAATTTTTCATGGTAACGTTGCATGGTAACGAAAAATTAAAAAATATCCAGCGGAAAATCAGAAGTTCATTGTAAAAATATATTTAAATAATCTTGTATATTTATGAAAATATTGGAGTGAATATTTCAAATTATGAAATTTCAAAATAAGAAACTTGATATGGAGTTAGTCTGGAACACATCAGATACGGTCTTCCTGTATCTAACGTATAAAGGAAAGCCCAGTTACAAAAAAATACTTGTCTCTACATATATCACTCAATGATCATAGCAATAAAAAATATAAAATAGGAATTACCTTTAAACTAGCATCAATCAAATCAGTTGTTTTCACCATGTTCCGTTCTGTGGCCGAGGAAAGTGCGGTTTTATTGTAACCATTCACTCTTATGTAAAATTCTAAATTAATGTTCTTTTGAATAAGCAATTTTACACATTCAATGAATGTTTCTGAATCATCATCTTCAGCCTCTGCACGTCGAATAAGTAGTATTAATGGATTTGTACCTGTAAATATAAATTATACCGTATCATAATTGCCGAAAATAATTTGCTACATATGAATATGATTTATTTTTATTTTGGTTTAGTTCTAAACAAATTTTTTTGTTATTATACTACAATTAACTACAATTTTATAATGACACATCTGTAACATGTCGGTCCTTTGTTATTCAGTTGCAATACTTTGGTCCTTTGTTATCAAGCAAAACTTTTAACTTCAATTACATTTTTATCTAGGCTATATTCCGTTTCTTATCTTGTATGTGGTTTTCTACTCTGTGCCGTGAAATTTTTAATGTTAGGGAACACGATTTATTAAAAAAATTGTTATTAAATTAACCAGCAGAAATGGCAAAATGCTTTTTTCTGGATTCTTTGCCATTTATACCTCATTCAAACTACTTTTTGTTGCAAAAAAGTCTTGAATTGTCTGACGAGCTTAACAGCCCATTTACAAAAAAAATCAACATTAATCTCCATTGAAAAGATTAATGAAGCCATCAAATAAAAAATATATAACAAGAATATTGAAATTTATAATTAGTTATATTAAACTGTGCTGTATTTTACAAATATTTTTCATGAACGGTTTCCTTTACTTAGTTTAGTAATCTTGCTAACTTGGTTTTACAACGGAATACAACCTTACATAAAATATGTGAATTTTAAATGTACAGGGTGGGTCAAATTCGACACATTTAAAGGGAAACACCCTTTTCTATAGGAAATAGGCGAAAACTAATATCGGTGTCTGGAGCTCAGTTTTTATCAAAAACATGATGGTGAAAACCATCTGTTATCTGTTCGGAGTTACGGGTTGTTCTTCAAAAATGTGCATTTTTAACAAATTCTTCTATTAAAACATTTCGAAAGCACCTTTTTACGTAGAATTTTTACGTAGAAGGTTTAAGTATATTTTTTTAAAATTAATAATTTAAGAGTTATCAATAGAAAACCTTATATATTTTTAATTAACTAAAAATATCTTAAAATTACCTTTCCAAAAATATAGCACACTTGATATTTTGTTATAGTCCCTTCGAAATACAGAATTTTTAAAAGTTCGCCACTTTTAACTAGTATGATTTGGAACCCTTATTGATGATCTGCCCCTAATCGAACTCGAAAACATATTTTCCTAACAAGACGAGGCACTGTATCAGAAAGCCAATTTCGGAAATAATTGAATAGCTAACCAAAATCCCAGCCGTTGGCCGTTGAGGCCACCGGATTTAAGGCACTTACTTAAGGTACTTAAGGCAGAAGAATAAAGGTTTTTATTTTTAATTTGCCCTCATAATCTAGATAAGAATTATAAGTACTTAGCGGTTATGCGAGGGTATCTTTCACCCCCACTGAGTTGATTGATTTCGGCGAGAAATGTTCAAAAACGGCCCCGTCTGACCATAACAGAAGACGGTCGATATGTCGAACACCTGCAGCAAAATCTCATGTCTTGGTTTGTTTGTTGTTGTTATTAGATATAGTCTAAGTGTGTTGATTCTAGTTAAAAATAGTTTAATATATTATAAAATTCTGCATCTCTCATTACAAATATTATTTTCGTTTTAATTGCTGCTCACAGCTAGAATTTTTTTGTATTACGGCCGGTGCCGTTCAAAGTCTACTTATTCAAAGTGAGTGAATTTTTATAAACTCTATATCCTGAAGAGGAATCGAGAAAAATATCAAGTGTGCTATTTTTTGGAAAGGTAATTTTAAATTTTTTCAATGAATTAAAAATATACAGGATGTCCCATATAAAAAATCAATTTCATTTCGATAAATAATATTCAAATTGAGCGAATCTCTGATGGACGATGGATAGGTTAGGTGTGAATATCGTGATTGCTTTTGCATACATTCCGGGTGATTGGCAGGCACCGCCTCCGGAAGTAGAGAAGCTCGCGCGATTCTGCAGCCAACGGCGACTACTTCTGCTATTGGGATGTGACTCCAATACGCACAATGAGGTATGGGGAAGCACTAATACTAACACTAGAGGTGAGTGTTTACTAGAATTCCTCTTAGCATACAATCTTGAAGTTCTCAATATAGGGAACACCCGCACGTTTGTGACAAAAACGCGGGCGGAGGTATTAGATTTAACAATCGGGAGTGCTAGTGTAACTAGTTACCTAAAAGATGGGAGGGTCTCAACGGAACCATCCCTATCAGATCAAAGAATCATCGAGTTCAAATTAGGAGGAATCATACTCCAAACTGAAATTCGAAGGGGAATCCAAGAAAAACCGATTGGGAACTATACAACACCAATCTCGTAGACACAACCTGGACGAAATAGATGCAGGTAGGACTAGGAACCACCTGTATCTAGAATGGTACGCAAGGGAAGTCAGTAGTGCAATATTGGATGCATATGAATCTAGTTGCCCCACAAGTAAGGGCATACAAAAAAGTAACAACAAGCCCTGGTGGAACAAGAAGCTGGCGAATCTTGGGTCGGCGGTCCGACGACTCTTCAACAGAGCCAAACCCAGCAGCGAATGGCAGCTCTACACCGAGAAATTAACTGAGTATAATAAGGAGATTAGAAGGGCAAAACGGTCTGACTTCAGATCCTTTTGCAAAAACATCACTTTAACTACTTATGCAGCTAGACTACACAAAGCTATGGCCAAGAGTAGGCCATAGCTTAGGGCCCATCCTTAACATGGAACTTAAGAAACCTGACGGAAGCTACACGGAATGAGATGTAGAGAGAGCTAACTTCCTACTTCATACACACTTTCCAGGTAGCATATCTATGGATACGCAAGTAGCTCCGACAGAACCCCACAATCCCCGCAGGGAAGACTGGGAGATGGCCAAGCTAGTAATAACAG